ATGATTCTGTTTCAATCAAACTGTGTGCATACCTCAAGCAATAAGTATTTAAGCTGTGAAAATTCATTATATAAGCCTAGAAGGTAAAGAGGTTATTTCTGGAAGACAGGAGACTTTTTATTTGACCTGAATACTCACCTTTCTCAGGATCAGGGAAGATCCTGAGAACCAAACTGCTTGTGCCTTCAAACAGTGTAAATTTTTGTCAACAGCCAACCCTGCCAGGTTTGTCCAAAGGTTTTTTGTTTTTTTTACCATCAAAAGTAGAGCCACTGGGGAACAAGAAAATCCACAAATAAACAAACACTTAAAAGAAAAAATTGTCTACTGAAACCCAGAGAAGTCTTTTTTTTTTCTGAGAGGAGAAAAAGGGAAGAAAGATGCATGCAGCCTTATCTTATAAACAACCATTCATCATGTAGCAGAACAAATAATACTTTATCCCCTTCACTTCAGACCTTGTATTTGTACAGCCTGAGACCAGCTGCCACAGCAAGAGAGCTGGGAAAATGTTCAGTCCCAGCTCAGGAAACAAGAGTGCAGCCCAGGTGCAGACTCTCTCCTGACATCTATCTCCATGTGTCCCACAGCCTTATCTTGGTCTTTCCTATTGTCCCTGATAGCAAACATGCATTTGGTATCACTGAGATCTTTGCAACTTGATATGTTATTAGCATGCCAGATGAGATTCAGCAGTAGTAAACACAAGAAATCCAATCCACAGGAATAACAAATATATACTAATCTGTCCTCTCATTAGCTCCTTTTTCTTTCTTTGAAACATTTCACTAATTGCTTGGCAGCTAATGTTTTTTATTTTTAAAGAAATTACTTGATGTTCTCATTAATCTTTGTGCTATGAAAAGCAATTTGGGCAGAGCTCATGGGTCTGTATAATTTACATACTGCTCCCTGCCCCAATGAAATATAAAAAAGAAATTCCCCGATCGTTTTCCTGGAATCAATCCTGATTTGAATGTAAATTCATCAAACCTCAGAAGACATATTTTTTTATGTTCCAGCATAAGATCCAAATTACCAGATGCAAAGGAAGTATCTGAAATAGCAAGTTGACAAATTCAGTGAAGAATACTATTTTTCTTCCGAGAAAAACTATCTTTGAGTTAGTTAAAATTATCTCACATACTAATGGCTTTCCATTTGTGTGGGAAAGCTACTCACAGATTTTGGACACAAGACTGCCACTGGCTTGCCACACAATAGCCCTTGGGCAATAGCAGAGAGAAGAGCCTCTGCACACCCATCACAAAGGTACTGTTGTAATTAATGCAGTGCATCACAGCATGTATATTTTAGCATGCAGGTGCCAGTTTCAAGCATTAAGGTCATTACAGATAATTAAAGTTCACAGCTCCTACTCATTTTGCAGGTAAAATTTTCTCTTTATTTCAAATTTTCAAACAGTTTTACTGAGCAACACATTGGTTTGAAATCTGTTTAGAACCTGGTGTCACACCTCTCCCATTTCCTCACTGGCACTGTAACAGTGGGTGGCAAAGCAGCAGTTTGCAAGTGTCAACAATAAACCCACTGGAAGTGGTAATCCTCTGCATGTCAGAGTGTTTAACATCCATCTCAACCCTCCTATGGTCTGCAGCAATTGTTAATCAAGCAGAATTGAAAACTGGCACTCAAATGGCATAGCTGCTATGGCTGGATAATAGCCTAGGAGCCAGCCAGGAGCTAAAGTTTCATTAGGAGCTATTTTAACATTCATTTGTCTACAGGAACAACAAGCTTAGCAAACAACTGGACTGTCACCAGAGCCCTCTGCCAGAGGCTCCTGGAAGCTCATGGCTGGAGTTAAGTTTTACAAAGAATCACCCACACACCTTCCCAGTGCAGGCAGCAGTGAGCTTAACCAGAGCCCCAATTCTCCAGCAGCCTTTTTGCACAAGTTTTACTTTGGTGATTTCAATTTCAGTTCAGCAGTTTACTGGAAAGATGACGATTTCTAACACAAAGGCTGCATGTTCTAACACCAGCACATCAAACACAAATTTTGATGAAACTGAAAGCTGCTTACAACCTTTCTTCTTTAGTACACAGCTCTAGAGCCAAGACTTCAGAACATACAACTGCTGAGAGTTAGTGAGGTTTAGATGTTCTGGACTCATGCATCTAAGCTACAGAGATGAGCAGGACTCATGAGTGGGACATCCTGACTCATTTCATCGTTGATGGAATGAGGGCTCTGCATGCTAACAGCTATTCCTTCTGAAGACCTTGTTACAACTGGCAACTACAAGTCTAAAACTGAGGCAGTTTTTGGATCCTTGACAGATTGCCAGCTCAACTTCTCTATGTGCAGCTTTTAGTTTTTTGGCTATTACCACAACAGCCTGAAGGACTTTTAAGGCAAGATCTGGCAGTGCTTGCTCATTGCTCCTGCTTTTATTAACAAATCCAGTAACAGTCAGCAGATGGGTAACAAGTGCACCCTGATGACAAGTGAGTACAAGGAAAAAAGTGTGACTTTTAAACCATTTTGTAATGTATTTCAATTTGAGTGTTTAACAGGTAAATCTCATTTTAAAATCTGTTGGTTTGCTGAAATAAATCCTGTGTCAGAAGATGGGGTACATGCTGAGCAATTAAACCTTAACTTGGATTAGAAAAGCAACACACCATGTTTTTGTCAGGGCAGTTGCACAAAACAGGATTGTTTTGCATGGTATTTTCCTTGCAAAAGCAGAGCACTGGTTTCATTCTGTTGTCTACAACTGCTCAAATCACTACAGCATACTGTACATTTCACCTGAGCCCTTCTTGTTCACTCTACTCCCCATGTTACTTTGATGTAAAGCAAGATATAGATGCCTGTTTCTACAATACTCCAGGGTATAATTGCATTTCCTGTACTTAATGATATATTCAGAACTTCCTGGTATGGTTACTATTTATCTTTTCTTCTCACAGCATCACTTGTTACCCAGTTCACTTTACAGATCCTTTGGGCATGTGTGTATCACATAATGAGCACCCTGTAAAAATCCCCAAGCAAGTGTCAGACAAGTCAGTGCCAGAACTGAAAGACGTTTAGCTGCTTCAGTACACAAAGGTATAAACTCTAATTAGCACTGAGAGCACTGCCAGGACCAAAATCTGCTTAGCACCTCTGCATGATACTGTACTGCCCAACACAGACTCAGCAGCCTGCTTGGAGGTAAAGCTGGGATTGCTAATTTGGGGCTATTCTCTGCAAAGCAGACCTGATCATTGGCTTCTCTAATTAAAGAGGGTATCTGCAGAACCTCCCCTGTTCTGCAAAAGACAGCCTCAGGATGGATGCATAGATCAAACATCTAGTTTTGGCTGAGTGCTCTAGATACAGGGAAAATAGTACACTCCTTCACCACATGTTAAAAAACATATAATAAAAAACTTGGTCTGAAATGTTATGTATGGAATATTTAATATGACGGAACAATATAAGAACAAAACCAATGGGATTCTCCCACCTCCTGTTGATGAGGTAGATCAATTCTCAGTATTAATACAGGAGCTTGGTGTTGAGAATAAGCTCTTTAAGTTTCTTTTAATCCTTTTTGAACTTTGTATGACATTAAATTTCACTACTCCTGCATGAAGTTTATTTTGTTTACAACTGCTTTCAGAGCATAAAGACCTTAAGCTCTCAAGAATTCTAACAAAATAGTTGGGGGATATTTTTGGTTTCTTCCCCCCAAATAAATAATTTATTCAATAAATGACAGTGCCAAATTTCATAACAGCTTTGAAACATGTCCTTTCAATTTAAATACAGTAAACAACGGACAAATAAAATTGTTTCAATGGATTGGATTTCTAAAAACATTACATGATTTTTTAAAGTAAAAGAGAAGTTTTATAAAAGCAATGTAACACTGTAGAGATTACATAAAAGGAAGGAGCCCTCTTCTAAATGAGGGCTTATCACTGATTCCCAGTTAGTGCCCTTCCCATGTAACTTACCTGCTTTGTGCCTCTGGTTCTGAGTCTGTGAAGAAAGTTAAAACAGGCTGAAAAATTGCTATTTGTGAAGCACTGTGAGAACTGTACACAACTAAGAATATTGCTATCTTCCACTACACTGCTGTTAGTAAGGATACAGCCTAGTTATTTCTAGGAATCTATACAGCACACAGCATCAGTATCGAGGGAAGTGGGTGAAAATTTTACTAAAACTGTAAAAATAATTACAAGAAGTATCATTAAAATCACTGGGACTAGAAATTATATAGAATCACACCAAATCTCCTTTTAACAGAGCCTTGTCTTTGAGAGAATACAGCTGGTGACAAGAAGCTTGGACTAAGAAGGCATGAGACTACCTGAGCCTCTGCTCGGCTTTGCCTTGGCCAGCCTGAGCAATCTCTGACAAAGGCAACGTGCACGTTCTGGGTCTGACAAAACCAGGGATTACTGCTCTTCCTCTTTATGTTTCAAATATGAGCACTCAGCTCTCAGTGAATTTTTTTGTTCTCAGATCTTAGGGCTGCAGAAGCCCATTTTACAACACAGACAGAATAACAGTAACAAGTAATAGTCTTAAGTTCACAGACAATGTATGAAGCAAAACTCAGACCCAGAATAGTAGATTCTTTGTTACCTCATGGCACATTTTTTGTTTGAACTTACAAAAAACCCCTCAGGGTTTATGTTACTCAGTACTGGAATTCAACATAGAACCCACACTGCTTATTTTTAAAGCAAAACTAGACACTCAAGATTAAAAGAAAAATGAACAAGTCACTGAGTGATTTTCCCTGCCAGCTGAGCATCTTGCAACTCACAACATTTTGAGAGAACCCTCCATTCAGGGGTTCTTAATTTATAAGTAAGGAAATTTCCTAATTCTCTTTTTCTTAATCTCTCTCTAATTTAAAGGTATATTTTTTAACATTCTAAACATTCTCCTTCTTTCTCTTCTGACTTCCCTTATTATTTTAAATTAAGGTAAAACATTTGCTATGTTAATGCTATTTTTTTTCCCCCAGAATAGCAGAAATTTGGCAGTAGAAACATGACTGCAAGAGCATTGGGACTAGATAAACTTCTGCTCTCCTGTCTTCACGAAAAAACCATTTACTCCAGAAATAGCTGAAAACCTGTCTGTTGGAAGAGTTATGATGACTGGGGAAAGATGACAACCTTCAGGACATTATGGGGTGCTTAATTTACTTCACATGTGGGCACAGGAAGCAGTCACTGTTGTGAGTACACAACACATAACCAAGATGAAATTTTCCAGAAGTTCCCAAAGAAGCCCTCAACTGCTATTGAGAGTCAATAGGCATAACCAGTCATCGGCTTTTATTGAGTGGAAGAGAAAAATGAGGAAGAAGAAACCTAGAACTACATTTTTTATCTGTCCCTATCACTGGCTGTGATAAAGCACAAGAACGTAACAACACAGAACAGAGAAGAAGAAGTCTGATGAAGAGAGGCAGAATGGGGGCAAAATAGGAGGCAGAGTCCTGTGGCCCTTGTTCATTCTCTAAATATTCCCTCTGAAACCAGAACTATGTCAGGAATCTCAGCTTTCAAAAACAAAGTCTCTTTCCTACACTTAAAAATGGCCTGACAGATTAAATTCAAACGTAAGGGAAAAAAAATCCTGGAGTGCATCTTTTAATGCCAAATGTCTGCCTGGAACAAATGTTTGTGGTTGCATATTAATTTCCTCAGAACAGCATAGAAATGTTGACAACTGCAACAGTTATTCATAATGGTCCTTTAGTCCTTTACTTCCACAAAGTTGATAAAATTTTGTATTTAATTATCCATGCCTAATTATTACAAAGAAAAAAAATCCCACTGACCAATTGACCACTGAACAAAACCCCATTAATTTTGACCAACTACAGAAACCCCCATTAATTTTCAAGAAAAACATACAGTATCTGTCTGTAACACCAGCATGGGCACTCTTTGTCCACAGAATCCCAAGTTCTTCATAAGGAAAACCACAGGTCTACAGACTGGGTGAAAACTTCTTTGGTTCAGGGACACTGGTGGCACAGACAGCTTGTTACACTGGGCACCAGCTGCTCCCAGTGAAAAGGGGTCCTACTGCTGCATTTCTGCCTTTGAAAATCTGCATGGGATCTAATCCAGCACCCTGCCTTTACAGGGCTTGCCTACATCTCCCACAGAAGCCTGTGATGGATGAACTAGCCAAAACCACTGCTGAAAACAACAGCTCAGCAGAATAAAGGATGCAAAGACACTGCATGCTTTCGATTTAAAAAACCAAAAGTAAATCACTTTTAGCCTTTACCTGGTGGGGGTCAGATGACATTTGATTATCAGCTGGGAATTCTCCAAGGGTGCTGACAGTTTTCTTAAGAATAGCTGATTAAGACTTCCCTTTTAGATGAGTTTTTGGTGTACTTCACTTGAACCACTTCAACATCTGTAACTTACGGACTATGATGCCACTTGACCACACTGCCTGGTAAAACAGTATTTCTTACCATATGTGGCTTGAGGTTGGAAATGGGCAGTGCTAAAGCTACCATGGCAGCAAGTTTGATAAAACAGTGTGAAGGGCCAGGAGTCTTTTGTTCCTTATTATTGACCAGTTTCAAAGCACACCCAAAGGAGCAGTGACCAGAGCTTGCAGGGAGGAGCTGCATCAGTGTCCATCAGTCATGGGACAAGTTTCAGATTGGGCTGATTTGAGAAAGCAGAAGGATGGAGCAGGGATACATCAAAAGCAGATTTTAACTGGAAACCAACTGGGATTCTAAGAGTTTCACCAAACCAAATGAAACAGCTTTCAGCATAAACCCAATAATGATATGTTTTTGGGGATTTTTTTTCCGAACACAGTATTTTAAATCTTAATTGTAGAGTGCAATAGAACATACAATATTTTAACTTGTCTTTGTTAACACAGAGCACTTGGGGTAAAACAAAACCACACCAAAAATTAAGGAGCCCTCTCTTGATGAAATGGTAACTGAACTTTTCACAGAGGAATTTACCACAGAAGAGTGCAATGGAAATCTGAAACATCTGGAGGAATACACGTTACTAAAAGTAAAAGTGTTTTTTTCTTGTTTTCCGTGGATATTTTAATGCCACCAATATTATATAATATCCTGAAAGATGCTTAGGGGTTTTTCCACTATGTTGAAGATTTCAAAATCTTGGGAGGCTGTTTTGTCTCATTTGATTAATTTTTTTACTATCAAACATTTCCACAGAACAAAAACTTCTGGAACAGGGTTCCTGTTGACAAACAGGCTGACAATGATGACAAGATCTATGAAGGGAGAAATCATATTAACAGAGAATTTTAGAAAACCAATTAAAAATTAGGAAGGTTGTCAAAGAATACTGGTTCTAAAAAAATAAGTATCACATTATTGTGATTCATAATTTAAATTCAGAATGATTAAAAGCCCTCAGATTCAGCTATTCCAACAATGACAATTTATTCACAGAAATAATCATAAAGTGTTAGGGATGTTTCAGTTCAAGGTTCTCTCCTGTAGTTTTACCTGGGTAGAAATGAAAAAACTGGACAGAATAACATCAGGCAAATTCTTTACTTTTCAGAGAGAAGTAATGTACTTTGGGAAAAATGGTCTGAGTTTCACTTGTTAATAACTAACTGCTCAGGTGACTAATTCTGACGGTTCTGCTAAAATCTCTGTTCATTAGGCTGATGAGGTTAAAAAGGTTAACACTCATGTGGAAAAGAATATAATTATAATATTAAAAGGCTATTTGAAAGGGAAAAGGATACCTTCATCTGTATTTGTGGCTTCAATTCTGGTGAGCAACTGGGCAAAAGCAAAGCTGAGGAGAAAGACTGGTGAGGGAATTAGAAAAAGTAAAGGCTTCTCTTTCAAAAAAAACCCCATGGATGAAAAGAACTTAAGTGTTTCTTTTATAAAGGAAACTAACAACAATTAGGCTATATAAAAACAACAAATGGTGCAGGAAAAAATAATCAGGAATTTCTTTTCAGCTACTCTTTAGAAAAAAAATGAAACAGTAAGCAGCTAGAAAACAAAAAATTTGAAACTGATGAAAACTTGGATAAAATACAAGTCCATGAAACTTCCTGCAAACGATAAAACTGAGGCTAATATTTTGTCAGATAAAAATTAAAACCAGTTATGAGATGATCAGGAAGCTAAATACCATGGGAATTCTTCACAGCAGTTTTTTAGCCCGTTATGCTGCCCCTTTTACCCCTACAAAGAAACAAAATAAAACCAGAGACTCAAAGTGCCATGCTTCAGGAAGGAAAATCAATAATTAAAAAGAAATCTAAAACACAGGTAGCTGATGTCAGAATTGTACTTTACAGATTTGGGATATTCTGTTTGAAACATCTGGCTCTGGCTATAGAGTCAGACTTCTGGACTGCATTCCTCTGAGCTATCATGGCAAGTTCAGCTTTTGCCTTTATATTGTGTGTATGTTACTTTTCTGTTTCCCTATCTGTTAGAGACACAGTCAAAGCTTCCTGTGTTTATGGAATGTCTGCAAAAACCACTCATTTTTTGGGCAGGGAAAACTGACCACAAGTGCTGAATGTTCAGAGGTTTTCTCAAAAAATCATCTGATGATTAAAAACAGGCTTTGGGAATAGAACTCTCTCTCTCTTCCATCTCCAAAGCAGTGTGCTGATTTAAATGCATACATTTTAAAAGGAAGATGAGTAGGGTGGGAGTTGTTTTGGTTTTTTACTGTTTGTTTGTTTTAATAAATGAAAAGAAAGGAAAAGTAAAGGAGCTTTTTTTTTTTTTTTTCCCCTCTAGTAGCAAGATCTTGGATTGTGTCAACTTTGAACTTTTTGAGTTCTGTTTCATTTGTGTTTGGATCTCAGTTGGGCACGTTCTCCCACTGTGCACACACATTCAAAGAATCTGCGGAGTTTTCTGTGGAGTAAGAGAAATAGCAAGCAAAAACACAAACACCCTCACACTTTGCCCAAAATGCTAACTCTTGTACCAGTTCTTTGAAAAAGAACCATCACACTGGCTTGGGACTCTCCCTTTCTTTAGTCTCTGACTAGAGAAGTCAGAAACGAGTGAAGTCTGGAATAGCATTTGCTAGAACCAGTCTAACATTCTCAGAAGGCAAAAAGAGGAGCACCAGTGCTGCAATGATTCCCAGCCAGTGGATATCCCCTTGAAAACAGGGTGAGCTGGTATTCACTACAGCAAGCTCTAGCAAGGCAATGCTCTCAGCCTTACTGTACAACTGAGGAGCTGAGATGCAGAAAAGTAAAGCCACTTACCTACTGTAGAAAATCTCCTGAGAGATGGGACTTACACTCAGGTCTCCTAAATAAGAAAATACTGAAGCAGTTGCTGGAACATCTCTTCTGGAAATTCTGTTCACTCCTTACCTTGCTCTCATGATTCTTATTTAGTTGAAGACTTTACCCAGACACAGAAAAACATAATTTCATATTGAAAAACAAATTATTCCTTTTTCCTTTGCACCTTTTTTGATGCAGTAGCAAGAAAAAACAATAAAAGAAGAAAAAAGATGAGAAGCCATTTTTCTTTGTGAGGATTTGACAACACAAAGCACAGCTGTGGGATGAATTCTGGTAAGACTGTGAGTCCACCAGCTTTGCTTCTTCATTACAACTGAGCACATAACAAATCTCAGCAGGATACTCCCCACTGTATTCCTTTCTCATTGGAATGGAGATGTGTATTGGACTCTAGGAAGAGCCATAGGGAACACCACTAACAAGAAATTCTATAGGGACAAACCCTCACTCTCTCCTTTCCCAGAGAGTTTGCATATCTGAAACAGAGCTAAGGGTTGGCACTTGCCATTTGGCAATTCATGTGCCACACAATTTAACATGGGAAGTCAAGAACATGTTCAAACGAAACTGCAGAGCAATTTTAGGTAGAATATAGTTACTCACACTGTAGTTCAGCTAGGAGATAGGATTTATTAGCACCTGCAAAAATTAGTAGCTAGCTTAAGCAAGAAGAGATATTGGACAAGACATGAAACATGTCTCTTAGATCCTTCAGTAATGACATGTCAAGGAAAACATGGGACTTTCAGCTTCACATTTGCTATTGGTTCAATTTTCAAACCATTGTTATTTCTATCTTTTTGTCTAAAAACCCAGAAAAACATTAAAAGTGGAAGTGGTGCAGCATAACCAACAAAGCACACAGAATCAGCAGCAACAGTAAAATCTCTGGAGTTGAAGCAGTTCAATGCTGCTTCAGTTGCTCAAAAACAGAAGAGGGCTTTAGCACACAGCTCTGACCCTGAGGGTAAAGTAACTTGTGCAGGGCCTCCTGCTAGGATGGTCCCATACACCCTTTAACAGTCTTGCAAAAAAGGTTGCAGAAGCCAAAAGTATAATTTGTTAGAAGCTAGGGTGAAAGCAAATGACTGCAAAGGGGGAGCGGATTAAAAACAAATTAAAATGGATCCTTCTGTTTTTCAAGTACTGCTTTTGAAAAAGCCAGCTTTACTCAGCTCCAGATACTGCTTCCTTAGCAGACTGCCTGTGGAGACATTCACTAACCAAGGGTATTTTGGAGCAGATGGTTTCCTTTAATAGTTGCATATAAGAAATTGGTGTTTGTCTCTCCCTTTCC